GTGGGAAGAGGTCAAAATACCAACGTTCACTGGGGTTTGGGAGAAGTGGATTGCAGCCTTCGAGATGCCTTCGGGACGTCAGGGGAGGAAGTCCCCGCAGATGTGGTGGAAACAGCACGGAACGGGGACCCCGAGTGGGACCCGAAGATGGGACGGAAAGGCTGAGATCTCATCATCACACTGAATGGAGGAGCACACGGTTCCTGGAGGAGGAACGTCCTCCTGGTGAAGACGCCGTGAAGGCGGCGGAAGTGACCTCGGAGGACCCAGAACAGGACACCGGCCGGGCTGAGGCGGCGGCGGCAGAAGTGACTGCGGAGGACTCAGAACGGGACACCGGCCGGGCTGAGGCGGCGGCGGCGGGGTCTGAGGACGGACTCAGCCCTGAAGGAAGTTCTACCACGGGTCTGATGCGGTCAGGCTGCACCGCATGTTCCAGAGAGATCGCTCATGAGGGGAAGAGTCCATCGCTGAGGCCGACTTGTCTTATTTTCAGAAAGTGCCACGGCCGCCAGCCGGCAGCCCCCAGCACCCTGACCAGTCAGCAGCCACCAGCAGGGAGGCCAGACCCTTCAGCAGCAGAAAGATGACAATACGCCGAAAACTCAGATGACGGTTAGCATTTTTTAGCAATAACTATTTTTAATTAAGGTACGTGCATATGTACATTGCTGATTTAGCCATAATGCAACTGAACACCTAATAGTCTACAGTATCATGTAAACATAACTTCCCTATGCACCAGAGGAACGAAAAGCTTCATTTGGTCGACTTTATCATGATTTCCGCCTTACCACAATGGTCTGGAACCGAACCTACGATACCTCTGAGGTGTGCCTGCTATCAAATGACTTCTACCGTGGAAAGGTTTATAAACCCGTAAAGGAAAAATAGCCTGCATGAGAGAGCTCGCGTGGTTCTTGTTTTCTCTACACTAGGAGTTTATACATCAAACAAGAGACAGTTGAGAATTCTGCTAAATCTAAACAATTAGGACCTGGTGGTAGTGATGCTGGCCAAGTAGAGTGTGTGTGTGTGTGTGTGTGTGTGTGTGTGTGTATGAGAGAGAGAGAGAGAGAGAGAGAGAGAGAGAATGCTGTTACTGCGTTTGCAGAACAGTGACGAACAAAATACACACCACCTAAAGCCAAGGGCTGAGGAGAACAGAGAATCACAGCCCCAGCCTTTGCAGCAGAAGAGAAATAATCCAGCCAGACCAGCAAGTCTATTTCTAAGTGACGACTTCTGGGACCCCGCCAAGTCACCTGCCTTTGGGTCGCGCCACCTAAAGAGGAGAAATCTCGGGGAAGCACTGGAGAGACGCATAGATGGTTGCGGATGGATGGGGATGGGGGGCCACTCCCATGGATGCCTTGTCTTAGCAGGGACCCCTAGGACAGGGAGCAGCACAGAGAGCACAGGAGTAGTGGCTGAGGTCACCTGCCAGCAAACGTCTTCATGGGACCCTTGAGTTCCCGGAGATCAGGATACACCTGCCCCTTCCTCTGCAGGGAGCTGCCCAGAAGGGCCCCCCTGCCCCCCTGTACTGTGCACTGCTGGCACTTGGGACCGTGTCCAGGTACCTCTGTAGACTCTCGCTGAGTAAATCAACTATGGCAAGCCCTCCCCGACCTGTCCCCGCTTCGTTTTCCATAATTCCTCCCAAGTTTGCTCCCTCTGATTTTGTGCAATCACTCCTTCTTCCACAGTGTCTGTTCTCTTGCTGCGAGCACTCAGCTATACATGGTCTTATGTCCCCAAACACAATGGGGGGAAAACAGGCTGGGTGCTTTTTCCACGCTTTGGGAGCATTCCTGGGCATCATGAAGGAAAAGGAAGGCTCCTTTCCCCTTCACGCTGCCTGGACTTCCCTCCAGGTGTCCTCCTGGGAAGAGAATTAGCCAGCCACTGGTGGGCTCCTGGCATCACCGCGTGACTATTACCATTACCGCTCTCGCCTTCAAAAGTGTAATGCACAGGGGGGCGCCTGGGTGGCTCAGTCAGTTGAGCGTCCAACTTCGGCTCAGGTCATGATCTCATGGTTTGTGAGTTCAAGCCCCGCATCGGGCTCTGTGCTGACAGCTCAGAGCCTGGAGCCGCTTTGGATTCTGTGTCTCCCTCTCTCTCTGCCCCTTCCCCTGCTTATGCTCTGTCTCCTTCTTTCAGAAATAAACATTAAAAAATGTTTAAAAAGAGTGTTACGCACGGAGGCCTGTCTGCAGAGCCCCACGCTCGGTGAGTTCAACAGATAACGTAATTTGCTCTAGAAGCTTGTAATCCGAGACAAAGAGCTCTGGCATTAAGCTGTGACAACAAACAAATGAACCTTAAACATGGATGTTAATTAATTGTGCAAACAAATTTCCTGAGGAGCATGTACTGACTTAGGAGAAGGAGCCATTTTCAAACAGATTAAAGGTATCATTTACATAGAAGCCGAATCAGTGAAACATAAACGGGCACTAAGCTGCTTTCATCCACTAATCATCTCTATCTATTCATGAAGAATGTGTCCACGAGACTACTTAGTGTAGTTTTGTTGATATTACTTGGAAGTTAGAATTATTTTAAGGCTGTGATGCCAAATTTTCCTTAAATCGGGTTGTCTTTAATTTTGGTCCAAATTGGTGAGATTTCTTTTGTTTCTTATTTTGAGAGAGAGAGAGAGAGAGAGGGAGAGAGTCCTAAGCAGGCTCTACGCTGTTAGCACAGAGCTCGATGCAGGGCTCCATCTCATGAGCCCTGAGATCATGATCTGAATTGAGATCAAGAGTTGAACACTTAACCGACTGAGCGGCCCAAGCGCCCTGACATTAGTGAGATGTCTAAGACTGACTGGAATAATGCACTAGGTTGTATGTGCTGGAAGGACTGGACTCTGCCTGGTCTGTCCGTGATTGCAAGCCTAGTGCTGGCACCATGCCTGACACGTAATAGATGCTCAACAAGTATCTGCAGTTTGCCAAAGCGCACACTCCCGGCGCCGACCACGCCCGGGCGTTCCTTGTGCTGTGTTTGCTGGACTTGAACTCCAAGCACATTGAAGTTACCGCAAACCCTTCCGTTACCACGGCCCCCAGAGAAGCTTCTGGCCTCAAGTAGTGCTCAGTGGAGGGTCCGGTGAGCTGCTGGCACCAGCAGGGAATGCCTCTGGTCTCCCTGTGCGTCTGCCCTCGGCCGTTCCTGCAGCCCCTTCGCCCCGAGCCGTGACTTTGCAAGCAGAAGCGTGTCCTTCTCCTCTGGCCCAAGACAAGTGGATCCCATGGTTGTTTTGCTGCCACCATGGCCCCACTGCATTCCCGTCCCCACCCCAAAGTTTTACAGGTCATGTGTATCTAGTGGTCGCCCAGTGTGACAGAAAATAAAATGGCTTACAGGCACTGACTTTCGGGCTTGACTCAGAAGGTACCCGAAAACCTCTTACCCCCTGGGGGCCTTGGTTATCTTGTTTGCTAAACCCATAGCCCCGTGGGGGCCTTGGTTATCTTGTTTGCTAAACCCATAGCCCCGTGAAAGGCTCCCAGGCCTCCTGAGGAAGTCCTCGGGGGAGGGCGGTTGAGGCACATGAGGTCAGGGTTGAGGAGGCTAGTGCCCTATCCCCACCCTAGGTTTCAGTAATTGGTTCTGGCAATTCAATCAAGCTTCTCAACTCCCCCCATACGGATTTGTATACAGCGCCTATTATTTATTCTACATGAAATTCTGCTGTATTTCTAACTCGACTTCCTCCAGGGGCAGTCCAGCTCTGGCACTCAAGTTCCAAACTCCTCTTAGGAAAGCAGAAGTCCGCGGACCCTTAGAAAATGGTTCAGGCGGTCAATTTCATGTTACGTGTATCGTACCACAATTAAAAAAGAAGAGAAACAATTTTAAAACCCTGCATTACCCACCCTTTTCCAAAGGCAGCCTGTCACCCCTCCATCAGGACCTCCGTGAGGGTGTCACTGTCCCCTCAGGAGCTCTCCCTCCGCGAGTCCTTCCCTAGAGAGGAATCCCAACCCGTAGGGTTTTTTTCCATCTCCTTCCTGGCTGGTGAGGCTTAGGGCAGTCCTCAGCCTTGCTCCCTGCTCTACTTCGGGTTCTACTTCAGAACCATCAGCTGACATCTATTATGTACCTGTGCCTTGGAAAACTCCAGAACTGCATACATTCCACTGGAGCAAGCACTGCTCAGTTCAAAATAATCTTCCAGTTTAAATACCTTCCTAAGGTGAGTGGTGAAATCGGGGGGCAGTGGGAGAGCATGGGAGGAAGCAGAGAAACAGCGAGAAGGCCCACAGGGAAGAAAGAAGGGGCAGAGGACCTCAGGGTAAACTCCAGAAGGACGGTGAGTTATGAGAAGACCAGGCACCTTGAATGGCCATGACTGGGGGTCCTGGGGAAAAGGGAAAATCAGTGAGAGGGAAAGCTCAGTCCTCATAGTCTAGCAGCCAAGCCTTTAGCCAGACCTGCAGCTTTCCAGAAGGAAGCCCAGGGCAGACCATGTTAAGCGGGCACGTCTACTTGCGACAAAGACCGAAGAAATACAGCAGCCGCCTTTCTTGAACTCAGGGTTTTCCTAAGTCTCGCTCATTTCCCGACTGAAGAAGAGAGTGTGAGCAGTGCACCCAGATGCCCATGTCCGCACAGAGAGTTAGGGGATGGTGCCTGAAAACGGAGTTACCCCAACCCGGGCTCTCCTCGAAGTATTCGCATCTTCTCTGGGGTCCTGCCTCTACCTGCTGCCTTTTGTGTCTTCGTTTTCTTCAAATGGCTACAGATCTGGGAAACACTGCCCAGCTGCCTGGGTCCTGCCCACACCCACTCAGATCTCGAATACTACGAAGGTCTCCATTTGCCACGTCAGACACGTAACTGAAGAAAAGTTGACGGTACTCCCAACTGAATTTTAATTCTGACTCTTGCGTTCCCTGTCACCCCCTCGTTTTAACAAACCAACTGGGGTCCTCATTCTCCTCTCTCCCCGTGACGCACAACCCACCCCACCGCCCAGCGCCTACCTTGCCCAGGCCTGGTGTGTCCTTCACCTTGCTGACAGCCCGCAGGAGACAGGGCGGGGCCGGGGGAGGGCAGGTCTGCAGAATTCCGCTGAAGCTGGTGGCAAAGAGCGGGGTCTCAGCCACAGAAGACGTGGAAGGCCGATGTTTCTTCTTTTTAGAAGACAGATTTAACTTCTGGGCAGCTCTGGAAGGCAAAATGTAGGAAAGGGACAGTAAGGAGAGAAATCTGGTCCAGTCATATATGCTAGGGTTATTTTATTTTCTTTCTCTTTTTTTAAAAAAATTTTCTTTGAGAGAGAGAGGATCTGAAGCAGGCTCCACACTCAGCGCTGACCCTGGGATCAGGGCTTGAGTTGAAATCGAGAGCTAGATGCTCAACTGACTGAGTCACCAGGCACCTCTTATTTTCTTTCTGCTAAGGAGCCCCTAGTTCTTTCTGAATCTTGGCAGTTTCTTGTTCATCGTCTGGGTGCTCCCCAGCGGCCTCATTGCTACAAAAACCCTAATGAGCTACCCAATCGCTCACACAGAAGAAAAAGAAACCATAAAACTGCACGGCTCTTGCCATCGCGACTTAAAAATGATTTTGTGTTTTCCACACTCCGCTTCAGCAATGCACAAGGCTGGTCATCTTTGGGGATAAATCGCATTTATTCGGTTCATCATCCCATAGCTTCTCTGGTACCAACTCAAGTGCGAGAGACCTTCTGAGTTACTTAGAAATTCTAACACCTTGTAAAATCCGAACCAGCCTGAGGAAGACCTGCGTGGTGACCAAGCAATACATGCTATGTGTGTGGTTGTGGAAGAAAATGGCCCGGTGCAACAGCAAACCATCCATCAAATCAATGAAATGTAACACCAAATCAGAATGAAGTCCAGCCAGGGTACACGGGGCTGCTGAGAGTACGGGCTGCTCGGGTGGGAAGTGGGCTTTGTGCAGGGTGGTCTTTTGACACGAAATACAATTCATTAGGCAAGCACCGGGGGGTGAGGGTCAGAGCCAACAAACTTGGCACAGAGCGGGCAGATGTGAAAGGTGGAGGGGGGGTGCCAGCATTGTTAATGACATCCGTTGTTTATGTCAGACCATTCAAATGTTCTGCAGCCACTTACTCCTCCTACAGCGAAGGACAGAAAACAAGGCAATTGGCCACAAGGCCAAGGCATTTCAGAGACTAATAGACTCACTTCTGGATTAATTCTTGGCGTTTTCACACCATACTTGTGTTGGACGAATTCCAATTGCCTCGTCGACTGGTATTAAACGTCTGAGCGGCTGTTTAAACAACCAGACTACCACGCCCTTATTCGACAGACCAAAACCTGCTAATCCATCCAGTGTCAACCTCATGGCAGGTCACCGGTGACACAGGTCAAGGAGACAAAATCATCATCGGTTGCACCTCCTCCCACTCCCCACCTTACTGATCTGGAATAGTTCGTTTTAATTTGGGGCCAGCAATCATCATCCTCTGACAAATCTCTTGAGCTGCAAAATGGTGCAAATACAGCAACTGGAATTACCACTTCGAAGTTCGTTATTTTCTTAGCTGTAGACCTGAACATCTTTCTCACAGGAGTGAAATACAGAGCAGGGGGTTACAGAGGAACAGGAGGGTGGAAGGGGACCCCAGATGGGATCTGAAGGCCGTGTGCTGCACTTGGATATCTAACAGACGTCTTGAACTGGAAAACCAAGTTCATGATCTTCTCCTGAAAAGCTCTCTTTTGGCCTCAGCCTTCCCTATTTCAGAAACTGGCGACTCGATGCGTGCAATGGCCCCGACATCTCCAGCTCCTCTTCCTTGCACACCACCCAGCCGATCCATCAGGAAGATTTCGTGGCTATAACCTCCGCACAGGTCCATGATCTGCCTTTACCGCTCCTATCTCAACCTGAGCCGCTAAGCTCTCTTGCCTGGATTCCTAGAACAGTCTCCTGCCTGGTCTCCCTTCCTCTGTGGCTCCCTACCCTCTGCCTCCACTGCCAGGCTATTTTCCACACAATAGTCAGCATGGTTCTGTTAAAACATAACTGCCCAAGACCCTCCATTTTGCTTCTCATCCCATAGTACGAGCCTCCCTCATAGTGCAGACCACCTTCCCTACTATCCTCATCTTCAGTTACTCTGATCCAGCCATACCAGCCTCCAGATACTTCTGGCACAGTCCTGCCATAGGGCCCTTCCACAGGCTCCTGCCTTAGCTAGGAATGCTCTGCCCCAGGAAGACCTAGGCACATGGTTCACTCCCTTACCTCCTTTAAATCTTCCTTTAAATGTCACCTTATCAATGAGCCTATCCTGTGCACCATGGCAGACTGTGCTTTCCAAAGATGGCAGCACCGATCTCGCACACTCTTCCCATGACACGTCACTCACATATCTCCATGGACGGGCGAGGTCTTTCTTCCCTCTCTTTCAACCCCAGTGGAACTTTGAAAATTGTCCTGAACAACAAAATGTGTTGGGAATGATCCAAGCTTGGGTCATAACAGATAATATGGCTTCTACGGGCCCGCTTGCCCTTGGAACCCAGCCTCCATGTTGTGAGGAAGCCCAAGCCACATGGGAAAGGCCATGCAGGGAGAGCTGAGGACTGCAGTCAATAGGCAGCATCAACTACCAGACGTCTGAATAAGTGAGCCTTTAGATGATACCAGGGGCCATACTTCAAGCCCTCCAGCTGAGGCCCAAGGCATTGCGCACAGAGATCTCGTCCCAGATTTCTGAACTCCAGGGACCATGGGAGATAATAAGTGATCACTGTTTTAAGCCACTGAGTTTTGGGGTAAGTGGTCGCACAGCCATAGTAAATGAACCATGACCTGCCCTCAATCTCCTCATTTCCCTTATCTTGCCTGCCTTCCCCACCCCCTGCATGGCACTTACTCTCTTCTAACACAGCACATGACTTACTTAGTGCTCATGTTGGTTGTGATTTTCCGTTTCCAGTCTATAAGGTAGATCCCAGCGGGGCCAAAGGAGCATATGTATATGCTGAACGAATGAATGAAGACCCAAAGAACTGGGGATATTTAGTCTGGGGAATATAAACCAGGAGAAAAGGGAAGGAAGAGTTTAAAAACAAAAGTCTTTAAAAAAGTGAATAAGGGTCCCTGGGTGGCTCAGTCGGTGAAGTGTCCGACTTCAGCTCAGGTCATGATGTCGCAGTCTGTGGGTTTGAGCCCCGTGTCAGGCTCTGTGCTGACAGCTCAGAGCCCGGAGCCTGCTTCGGATTCTGTGTCTCCCTCTCTCTCTGACTCCTCCCCCCACCCACACTCTGTCTCTCTCTGTCTCAAAAAGAAATGCACATTAAAATTTTTTTAAATGAATAAATACTATGTAGCAGGAAGTATTTTTCTTTTTTTCTTTTAATTAATTAATTAATTAATTAATTAATTTCTTTTACGGAGAGAGAGAGAGAGTGTGAGCAGGAGAGGGTCAGAGAGAGAGGGAGACACAGAATCTGAAGCAGGCTCCAGGCTCTGAGCTGTCATCACAGAGCCCGACTTGGGGCTTGAAATCCTGGACTACGAGATCATGACCTGAGCCAAAGTCAGCCGCTTAACTGACTGAGCCCCCAGGTGTCCCAGGAGGTATTTTTCAAGCAAGAATGCCAGAAAACTTCGTCGGCTATCTTTCTGAATCTCAGAAAACCTGGTGAAGGAAATAACAGTACTCCCATTTCACAAAGAAATGAGACTTAAAGAGTTAAGCCCAGAGTCTTTTTAGTACCTGACCTGAATCTGAACATCCAGCTTCTTGAGATGCTGAGTAGATAATGGTCAAGTTACTTTAGTTCTGATGTTTATAATGTATACGAAGCATCTATTGGGACCCTGGTATGTAGCTGGCATTCACTCTTACGACCATCCTCCCTATTATAAATATTATCATTTCTGCATAGTAAGATACAGCAAAAATAGTACCTACGTTTATAAACTTTTTATGAAAATGAAAATTGCATGTGCAGTGTTCAGGAAACAGGAAGTTCTTTAAAAAATTTTTTAAGCTTATTTATTGGTTTTGAGGGGCAGGGGAGGGGCAGAGACAGAGGGAGAGAGAATCCCAAGCAGGCTCCATGCTGCTAGCACAGAGCCCAATGTGGAGCTTGATCCCACGACCCTGAGATCATGACCTGGGCTGAAATCAAGAGTCAGATGCTTAACTGGCTGAGGCCCCCAGGCACTCCAGGTAGTTTTTAAGAGGTGGTACTTTGAAGGCTTATAGGCAGTGAGGCTAAGACTGACTCTAGGTCTCTGTACCCCACATTGTACCACCACATCTCTTACTAGGCAGGTAGAACATTAAGGCATATTTGGGCTTACAAATATAAGTGATATCTTTCCATAAACTAGAGTAACCCATTAGTAATGGGTCTGCTTCATGAAATAGTGAGCTTTTTGTTGCTGGAAGTGTCCAAATAGTAGCTAGAAAAGCACCTCCAGGGGATATCAGGGGGAAGAATTGGTGCATTGGGAATATCAGATGATTTCCAAAATTTCTTCCCAGGCAGAGATTCTGAGGCGACTCCTAGAAACCCTCATCCTTTTAGGGAAGCCTCTACTGGCTTCAATGCAGAAAAACAGTAAAGGAGGGACTCCTTTTGAGAATACATTTAAAACTTCCTTTCTTTTTAAAATATGCATATGAAATAAAGGCCCTTAGAGGATTCCAGAATTTGAAAAATAAAAACCATATTTTATAGCCTTATATTCTAGAAGAACATTTTATTTTAATTTCAACATCATTATAACCAGCTATTTGTTCTGTCTAATGCATCCCGATTTCTTGGAAGTCAGCAGATCTGCTGTTATTATACAGCACTCCAACGACAGCCAGAGAGGAGAAGGTTAAGGTACAGAAATCATTCACGGATAATTGTATTATCAGTGGCATAAACGAGAGGCAGTCATGAAAGAATTGAAAAAGTAAAGACAGTTTGGCTAGACGTGTGTTTTGTGTAATTAATGCTTTACAAGTTCTTTCTTCCTAGGGAGAAAAACAAATGAGTGGATTGTCTTATAAGATTTCAAACAACAACAAAAAACACTCCTTAAAACACTATGATAAGCAATATTTACTTGTCTCATTCTTACCACGGAAAATACCATATATTTCTTCCCAGTACACATCTTTAAATATCCATGAGCTTCATTTACTTTTCTGTGCCTTATTT